TTCTGAGCTCGCTGCCATTGATTCGTAAGAGTTCTGGCATTTCTGGGTCTTTTCTTTCAAATAAATGTTCATGACTGGAATTTTTCAAACTTTCACTTCCTTTTCACATTCTTCCCATGTTCGCAGCAATTGTTCAAATGTCCAGTCTTTTATCAGGCTTGTTGCTTTTACCCCTCATTTCGAAGTGGGAGACAAGTTTTTCGAGCTCAGCCATCATCAGATCTCTTTTATTAGACAAGGCCAGTTGTTTTCGGGCTACAATTCGTAGACCTCCCGCTGTATTATCAGGTGGTGGGACTCAATTGTAAAGTCGTAGTGGTGGGGCAAAGGTCAAGCTGTACTCACTTGGATTTTCGAATGATTTAATGTTTTTGGTCGTGGATAAAGCCCCAGCATACGGATTTTCGGCCATAGACTTGGGCTTTGACGGTACTTGTTGACAGAATGAAATGTGTAAATACAAATATGACATAGGTTTTGCTTCTTCCGAAAAAACTCAACGGTATATACTACTACTTTCATCGGTTATTCACCGGCTTTCTATACAAGTAGATGAGCTTTTGGCTGTGTGAACTCTGAAAAGGTAACAAAATGCAGAAAAGGAGGATCTGACGACAAAAGACAAGTCAGGCCTGAGAAAAATTGCAATAAGTCGATCATAGGTTGATCATGGCACGAGAACGAAGATTCGTGTTTTTCTGGCTAGCTAGCTATGTCCTTTCTACCGTAATGGACTGCTTGCCAGACATGACACCTCAGTAACCCATTGCGCCGCCGAGAACATCATCCAACAACAATTTGCATAGCTTCCAGCTAACTAGCTTCTCCATTTCCTGCAAAAGATAATCTCATGTGATGCTCATAGGATTTTCTCCATTCGCAGCCGAAGCCTGTTGTTCAAAGCTCTACTCTAGAAATCTCATTAGCAGTACAATAATTCTACCAGTGGAAATTCACAAGATGGACAGGCCCCTGGCTAATACTAAAGACCATCACCTACCCTAGCTGTAGTTTTATTCGATCTCATGACAGCTCAAGTTGAGCTCTCACTAAATTGGGTCCAACTAGTTCGCCTTGTCACCCCAGAAATCGAAAAGCACCATCACTATGACTTCCAATGGTCACGTGAATAGGTGGGCGCAATCTTTGGTTCCTTTGAAAGGAACTACATGTGGTCTTCATATTGGACCTCATACTTGGGCGCCGATGCCGCCGCGGAACCCGAAGGCACCTCGGTTATGAATGATAGCCACCAACACGCCATGCCAGTTAACAGGCCANCATGTCCAAGACAATGGTGAGCTTCTATGATTCAACAAAACACTCTTTATGGAGTAACCAGTAACTCCCCTTGTTATTTACCAGTTGGATTGAGCAATGTGTCAACCTCTCGTCATATGTGTATGCATGCGTATTTTCCAAATCCTCCTCTCTGGGGGATGCCATCGATAGACTCACCACTGTGAATTATAACGTCTCCGCAGCCCCCTTGTTTGCATAAGCCGCTCGTATCAAAGAGTTTTAAATGTGAAAACATGATGGAAAAACTCCTGACTTGATTCCCACGACTTGATTTATTACTATATACTACTTCTTCGTTTGCATTGCATTTCAATAAAAACCTGTTTACCGAGTTTTAAGGTTTACTCAGACATGGACAAACATTAGGTAAAGCCAGTAGAGCTCTTCAAGTACGACTCAAAAGATTCAAAATTCTTCAATAACGTGCTCCAGCTCATTGACAGTTCTCAGAGCGGTGCGAATTCAGCAAATTCACGATGCGAGAAGTGCTACCGTCACTGAAATTATTGGTACTTGAGGATAAGCCATGCATTCAACTTATATCCTTAATCGTTAAGATGCTTTGATAGGTACTTCAGCTTGGTATTCATCGAAACATCCTATGTCTGAGCAGCTTGTGCCAGCAGTTTTTAGGGGAGGCTGATTTTGTTCGGCTTACTTTTTTTCAGGCCGATGACAATTTTGGCTTGAGGGAGGGAGGGAGATAGGTATTTAACCTAGTTACCGCAATTAAGGGTAGAGTGAAAACAGCTGTCTAGCTTTAGACATTAATTTTGGTAGCATATTTAATTACCCAGAAACTTACCTTCACCATAGTTCCTTACTACCTGAGCCACCCACTGGATGCCATCTTCAACTTCGGTCGTCTTAGGAACAGTAGACCATTTTTCCTATACATGTACTGGCCTACATGAGCACCAATCTCACTGAAGATTTTACCGCTCATATTTGGTGACTTTGATAGATTTATTTAATCAAGTTTTACTTATCATATTACATGCTGTAACAATGACATTCATTTCCATATCTATAAATCGATACCTCAGAACCTTCAAAACTTTGTAAAAATTGTAAGTATTTCTCGCGAGCATTGCTTTGAACCGCAGAACCGGTTCTTTACCTTTATTGAACATGAACAATATTCAAATGTACATTCGTTTTATTGCTGTTGTCTAATATATTTCAAGATTCCCATTCAAATGAATAGTTGTCAGTACGATGAAACTTCGAACCTAGAGCCCTACTATTTTAAAAAGTAAGTAGATTTACAAGCATTTCATATAAAATTACTAAAGCTGTTTATGAAAAGATGTGAAAGTAGTGCATAGTCAAGGCTCACAGACCAAAAGTAGATTGTAAACATACCATAGTAATTCCTCCTCTCCTACCTCTTTGACATACTCCTTCTCTCCTCCCCACTTATCCTCTTCCCCCTTCCCGCCCCCTATATCCTCAGTTCATTGCCTTGCCATGTTATTTTTTGGCTATCTCAAGAGTGTCATCTGAACAAGGACTGGACTCCCACAAATCACTTCGCATGCCCAGGATGCCGTTTTCGGGGAATATTTCGCCTCAATCCCATGTTTCGCTCATTAGAGTGGGCGGAGTCGATTTGGTGGCGACGGCCACGCGCTACCTCATGTCATACAGCACTGTCTCTTCCAGTTCCCCTTGTCATCTTTGTCTATCCCCCATCTTCTTCATCAAAATGTTCTCTTTAGGCTTACGCGTACTTCGTACTTCTAAGTCAGTAACACAAAAACTCATTTTATGCCAGCCAAATTCTAGTTGTCCTCGTGAAGTCAGCATTTTCCATTCAGACTTCTTCCAGAAATTCAGCGGCGAATACTCCTTTTTCGAATATCACAGATGTAGAACAGTGAATTTTGTCCTTTTTCCGAATAACCCAACTTCTTCCATTGCTATCGTGCTAATTACGATTTGTTCTGCTATACTAATACTGGTAGTGATACTTTTTAGTTGTTGATACCAGCTAAATCTCGTTGTGGGCAGGGTTGACGTATTTTCGAATCCGAATTTCGAATCATAGCGAATTTTTCAAATTTGGCATGCCATCCATATGACCTTGCGATATTTCCAAAGGTAGTTTTATATCGTTTTCGAAGATCCCAGGTTTTTTAAAATTTATTTTACTCAAAGAGGACAGACAATCTAAGTCAGTGAGGTGACACCATCGACCCATTAGTGGTATAAGCTCAAGTAGCGCACAATCCGAACTTCCTTCAAATGTCTGAACAAGTCCCAGATAGGCCTATGACCTTTCTTTACATCTGATAGTGCGCTATTTTATGCCTACTGGAGGTGGGCCCTGAAGCGAAGAAGTAAAAAATAGTTAAATGAGAAAGTGCTCAGCGCTCGAACCGCGATAAAGGAGCATTTCCAACACAGAACTTCCCGAATCTAGAAGATAGTGGGGCTAACTTCATTCGAAACTAAACAAAAACCATGTGCCTCTCCTGGAAGGCACTTTAGTAGTTTTTACTTTGAAGGTTCAGAGTAAATACTTTGAGAACAACGCGGTAAAGTGTATTATCCTCATTTGTGTTGAGTTGCATAGGACGATAAGGCTCGTCAAGGCCTGGGAAGGGGGCCTTGCCTCATCAATTACGTTTGAGTGACAAAGCAAAGGAAGCAACAAGAAGCACGGGGACGACGGAGCTTTGGCCATCGCAGTGTTCCCACAGCGCAACGTTTACTTCATAGACCCTTTGGGGCAATTGTAAAGCAATTTAGTACATTTACATCAAATCTTACTGTATGTAAAACGATTATGAAGGGCAATCTATCCAATAGCGACTTTTTTTTGAAGTAAATTTAATAATAATGGAGCAATTTCGTTCTTATTCCACATACCCAAAATTTTGCACTTGTGCAGAATCATTTTGATAAGTTGCCGTTTCAAAAGTTCAAAGTGGCACATTTTCCGATATGACTTTAATATCTTATGAGGTCAAATTTAGTTCATAAACATAGTTGTGACGTAATAAATACGTTTTTTTTTCTGAGTGATTCACTTTTCCCTTGAGGATTAAGGTTCACGTAAACTTCTGATTCATGAGAATTGGTAGCCTCAGAATGATAAGTGTGGGTCTATGGGATGGACCTTTACTTTGATGAATAGATGCTTTACTCGGAACACATTTTCGCCCATCCAATTTGGAACCCAGCTGTGAAGTTCCAGTTTCGATTAAGTGAATGTCCTCCACAGCTGCATGGACGACGAATTTGAGGACCAATAAAAAAGTTCGATCTGTGCGAAATTGATGGTCCTACTTTTCAATTTCCAGATTTCCGAAGCAATTTCAAGCGGTTTCCTGTACTTATTTTTAAACTTTATTTCCCCGTACTCATACAAGATTCAATTACAACATTGTACAACTTCCATTTTCTGGCCACTTCCTTGAAGTTCGCTACCGATACTTCTTTTCAAATCAGTTCTACACATTTTCAAAATAATTTCTACAATTTCGGAAATCGTACTATTCACTTTCACTTTTCTGAGACACTCTCAATCCAATCCGCTGTTGACTGGAGTTGATTCAAGAAAAAAGTGTTACTTCCTTCATCGTTGGTGCCATGCTCGCTCATCCTTTTCCATATCGCTGCCACTGCCAAGTGTCATCTGAAAAGAGTGTCATCTTTTCAGTTTCAATCAACTACTCAATCAAAATCCAAGGATGACATCGTGTGCTGTGGCACGAGCACATTCTCCTGCTCCAGATGAGTCAGAATGCGTCGACATGCTACATCCTATGAGTTCCGATAACAATTTACCTCTGATCAGCACCACTCCGATGATGCCACCTGTGGTAGGCATTCATTCAAAATCTAAAGTACCTTCTTATAAATCATTCCGACATTGGGCGCATAGCAGAAATGCTTACATGAAGAGCATAGGTATAGGTTCTTAGAACGACCTGTTTTCCTTCCCTCGGAATAAGATGTCCCCAATTACAAACCAAACATGATATGGATTAAAAGGACAGCGTCTTCGGCGCTAATCAAATCCGTCTTTGGGATGCGCCTCCCCTCTTCCATTCGACTTCCATTCAGAATCGTAGTGACGATTAGAATTCGCCCGTGGCCTACACAATGACTTAGGGTGGTCGACAGACGTACAAGAACCCCTTTATCCTCCCAAAGAAGCGGGTAGCATGTAGAGGACTCTGATGGAAGATTTGGTTGGCCCATTGGGATCGAGCAGAGATTCGTTCTCCAGACCCGACAAATACCAGCTATGGTTCCGCTTACGATCACTGCCGTCAATAAAAGTTGGGAATACTCGCCAGTGTACATCAGCACAATGAATGGTAATTCCAATATAGGGTTATTTCGTTGCAGCTCTTCACGTTTAATCTGACCCACCAAGTTTTGGTTTTTGCTACTTGGGACTTCAGGTTTCAGGCTTTTCATGAGATATCAAGACTGTCACGTAATGGAACGACGTGGGAGTGTATCAAAAATCCATCCGTTTCTGGGCTGTTTTCTTTCTCTCGAACTTATTTATTGTCACCGCTCATATCGGAATTCTTTGACACATTTTGACATTGGCCAACTAAACCATCAATATTTAAATGGGAGAACGGGCAAGAAATTCCCAAGGGCGTGACGTACATACGAGCCTAGAACGACGAAAGCGACTTCTTTCCCTCAAAAGCTGTTGCCTATGGGAATGGTTCAGTTTTTCCATCGGAACCTTCAAACGTTCAACAAATGGACTGGAAAGCATGGCCCTTCTGGAAATGTATGTGTGCGCCAATTGATAGATAGATCCCATCGGAATAGAGGATTCGGACGATGGAACAGATATCCGTCTGATTATACTGCTATTTCTCTCTTGAGGTTTTCAAATAAAGTGAATGATGGGTACTCAATGAACTTATCTGCTTTGAAATGGCTGCCAAGTAGGCTGCCATTGGGGAATTCGAAGTGGGAATGTCCCTCAGAAGTACGATTGCGGTGACCTTTGAGGAAGAATTTTTGTCGCAACCATCATTCAACTTTTGCACTTTACTTTGTGGCTCTGAGGCCAAGGGTAAATATGTAGCTTGGCCTAGAAGGGCACTTTATGAGCCTCGTGAGGAGAGGCCTCCAAAGGAATCTATTTGATGGAAATAAATGATTTTGACCAGAAGAATGCCTTATAGGTTGATATATTATTGGATCGGTTTGCAGTCCATCCTCAACTGCCTTCCCTACCGAATAACCAGAATGGGGGCTCTCGATTTAGGTTTTTATACCAACTTTTAGATGTAACGATTTCAGCTCCTGATAGCTTATGCATAGGCTTTCGCTTCTCACCTTTTGACAATTTGTCACGTTTTCATTTAAGACTGGACTCAGGTTTGGTATCTCTACTATCCAGTTGTGGAAGTAGCTTTCCCCAAAAAGGGAAGTCAAGATGTTGTAGAGAGATTTCCTGGAACCCACACCCGCAACTTCCTGGCCCTCTGACAATGTAAATTCTGAAAATTTGGTTGAGAACGGGGAAAGAACGGAAAATACACGACGATATAATAGAGACACGTATCCGTTGAGCTAGGAATGATACCCTGGAGCTATAGGTTCATTGAGGATTTTTGAAATAATTATTATCCCTAAAGCACATAAATTCATGGAGGGTAGCTAAAATGCATGAAAAATATTTTATTATAATTATTGTAGAGCCCAGTAAATTATAAACGATACTTTGCTTTCCCTAATTTCAAAAGTCCACTCGAAAACTCTGAAACCACACAGCAATTTTTTTTTCTGAATGTGTAATTCCAAGGAGGGTAATAGTAAACGAGGTTACTCGTATGGCTCACTTTGAGAGTTAAACACAAAAGTACGCGGCACGAAGAGGTTGCTGCACTTCCAGTTCCCAGAACTGAAGACGGCAACAAAAGTTCTATGGGTAAGAGGGCAATTCCTCGTTACTCAAATGTTCCGTCTTTACTTCGTCGTCGATGAAAGTGAATTAAAGTCTAACGAGTAGGGAAGATTCACTTTTTCATTTGTGCCTCGGCTTGATGAGATGGGACTATGGCCTAATGGCAAGGAAGAAAACCATATTTGACTAATCCATCCATTAAGTAACCCGGCTAAAACATTCCTCTTCCTTTACCTTCCACGACCAGGACCACTGTTGAAAAACTAGGGTGAAAAACGAAAACGATACGACAAAAAGGGTCCAATACAAAAACGTCTAGGGAGCTTTTCGTCGTTGAAGGCACAGTTCACGATAATTTTGAGGAATCCGTTTTTATTCGAAAAGCAGAAGTACAGGTTGGAAGTGGTTCATCGATAGTGAAGCGAGCGAGAGAATTCGCCGCTTTCGAGAAAAATATGGCCCCTCGAAAGAACAAAAAATAGAGTTTGGACGAGATTGTCATGACGGAAATAACAGGAAGGGGTATTCGGATGAGATTTCAGTTAATGCAATTGCACAAAGAGCTGACCACATCAAGCCGGAACTGTACAGAACTGTCTTTCACTGTCGCTATGGGTCATGACAAGTTGCTTGAACTTCCTACATGGGCTCCCTTGTGATCTGTACAGCCTCGACAATGTTGGTGAATTTCGTCCGAGGACACACACGGGCCAATCTTCGAGCCTTCATTAATCCCTAACTAGGCCGTTTTCCGACCTAATAGTGTTAGATATAGTATACGCGGGGGCCTCAAATTCATCCCGTAAGGGAACTCGGAAACCTTTTTTATCGAGAACTGTGCCTTTAACGAACTAGGATCCCGACAAGAATGACCTAAGTTACTAAGGAGTAACTTGTGCTCTTTTCTACAGTTCGCCATAATTTCATATGAGGTTGTACATAACTGACACAAGATGAACCCAAGTTTAGATGAAACTCCAAATTTAAATTACAATTACAATCAAATTTAAAAAAAGTAAGTTAGATCAAACTCTCAGAGCCTTGACTGTCTCTTAGAAGGGTTACCTTGAATCAATCTCACTTTAATTTCCTTTGTGTTGGGAACAGTTTCAGGAAAAGTTTTTTGTATTGAACCAGTTTTAACTTGATCCGACTTCTAGTCGAAAAAAAATACTTTAAATGTAATGTCCTCTCTCGGCATCCACTCAAAAGTGCCTTGACGCTTCGATTGCATTTTTGGCACTTAACCGACCGAACCGATAGAAAGTTTGGTCGTCTCAGCAGGTATCGATGAGGGATTGGAACCCGTCACCGTGTGTGTTGGATAGCGCACCATTTGCCACTACACCACCTCCGCCGCGTTTAGATAGTGTAAGGTAATTGTGAATATGTAATGATCACGACACTGCCCGAGCCACGCACGTGTTGTCACTTGTTGGCTATCCATTTATGTTATTGAACATACATATTACTCATCCACTTATGAGTAAGTAAATACATAGGTTGTCAAATCCAGTTGTCCTCTATGTATTTTATAATTTTTCAAACAAATTTTGTTATAACCTCAACTACAGTACAGGAAAATTACCGACCTGGAATCTGACATGAAAAGTGGGCGGGCACCATCACTGTAACGCCATTTTTCCTTAAATCATCTTAACCATGAAAACAACTATTTTAAATCTATTTTCAGATCAAAACCACAGACAGACCAGTAGTGCTCTGTATGGCTCCTATACACAAGCTTCATCATGAGGATGAAGGTTGCCCCGATAAGGAGGTTCGAGATGCTGTCGAAGGCATGCAATTGGACTGAAGTGATGGTGTCCTCAGCTGAGCAACCATTTTTGATTCCCTTCGGTCCTGCCTAACGTCATGGATCCCGTAACTTCCTGAAACTCTGCTACTGTCAAGGAGATCATGTTACGTTACAATCTCCCACTACTCTTTCTCCTCCTTCACTCTTTGCGACGCCTAACAATTCATCGATTTTTTTTGATTCTCGAATTGAATAGTTTTCCGTTTCAAGAACAAATCATACTTTCTTTTTCGTTTGTGTCATTGTATCTTCCCTCTAATACTTTATGCAGTGTTGTGTAGTGTGTCGGAAAAAATTCGAATATTAATTTCTGTATAGTTACTAATTTATCCATGTAACCTTTTGTGATTTACAAACTTTAACTTATAATTGTGTAACTTATATATGGAATTCTGTATTCGTTTACTATTTATTTATGCTACGGGTATCGATGATTATGTCACGACACAAACTGAATAAAGAATGCCAATGCGTTTTCAGCTTTCGGAAAAAAACGAATTAGGCCACCACCCCCGCTGATAGCCTACGGGCGTGGGTGAATTTGTACTAACACGATGTCAAAACGAGGAAGCAAATGGGGAGAAGCTTGTGTGATGGGCCATGAGGGCATCGGCCGTTCAAGAGGGCTCCGCAAAGTTTTACGTTGCTAAAGGGCCATAGAAAGAGCTATTGCGCATTAGCTCTTATGAGTGCATGTCGACGATTGGAACAAGCTCTTGGGAATCTACTGGGAATTGGATTCCCAGAAAAATTCCCATTTGGTAGAAGAAGTTTAAAAATATTTGGGGTTGTGGATTTTCACACGGTTTCCCACATCGGGAAACATCGGTTAGGTTACAGTTTTTCTATTTTATAAAGAATGTCGTCATCTCTGAAATTACTACTTGAGCGGATAGATAGTTAGTATTTCAGGAGTCTGTTTACTGCTTAGTATGATACGAATACTGAAGAACTTGACATCGCAACCTTGCCTCAGTAAATTTGTTTCCATTTGCAGGTATATGTCACGAGTTCACAGAAGTGAAACATCAAATTACAAAGAGAAAGTGGTTTTAAGCCCCCCTCTATATTTTTTAATACAAAAAAATTGATCATTCATTTTGAATCAAGTTTTAAACACAAGTGAGTATTGGAATGTGAAATATGGCATCAAGCATTTGTGAATTTCTCAAGGGTATAGTACGAATATTTAATTATCCATGTTTATTCCATAACGAATTCGTAAGTAATAAAAGGGTCAATGTTAAAATTTTCGGCAATTCTGTCCCCGTTTATATTATGCGCCTACATATCAACATCCATTCAAATTCGCAGTAGCATTCAAATGGTCATTTGGCCTGAACAATTAGTTGTGGGGGCGAGTCGATGTAAACAACTCGCTCTTATCTCTTGGACCAGTTTGTTACCAGATAGCCGATCTCTGGGGGATGGAATCTTTGTCGACCGAGCCGAGTTAAAGCGCTCTATCTGGCTCTCCAATCATGCACCGTTTCCTTTTCAGGGACGGCCATTTATATCGGTCAGGGTCAGTGATCTCATTGTCAGTGCAATTCGGAAATAAAAATTGCCTACGGTACGTTAGTCTTACAAAAATTCACCGTGACATAAATGCACTGAACGCAGAATTTCTCAGACGAGACACTCCATTTCACGGCATAACCGTATTTGGACACACAAATCTTCACCCGTCACACATAAGCGGCACCAGGAAAAGGGACCTTGGGGAAGGGCACGGTGCCGGTGGTTGGGTATCTCGGAGCCTAGCATTGCACCATGCACTTTCGTTCAGACCTGAACCCATAGCCGGGACTACTGTAGAAGTAACCGGCCGTACCGAATTTTCGTTTTTGTCACTGCAAGTCAGCCTTTCACTGGCCTACTAGAACTATTTCTGGAAAAACGGTTAAAAATGCGTCTGACTACATAGTTGCCGGTAAATGTGTGCCTCTTGGTATAATCACCCACAGATGATGGGAAAGGAAGAAGAGCAGCACTCAGAGGATAATCTGAATAAGTGATTTTCACATGAGAAATCCAAACAGGATGAATGGGAACTATTTGAGTTGCAAAAGACAAAACATAACTTTCACTGACCTTCTCACCTTTGCTATCCACCTATTTAACCAGTATTCCTTTTGGAAGAAGTACTTGTTCAATAGGCAGATAACAAAAGTGAGAAGGACCTGAACTAACACAGCTGCCCCACCCTTCGAAATCGTTTCTTTAGTCGGAATTGAAAGCGATTGCTTAAAAGATGAGGTCTTTGAGCGTTCATCAATCCTGCCGAGCATGCGCCCCCGCATAGACTTCCATTCAGAAACGTAATGGCGTATTGAATACGTATATGGCCTATACATTGGCTTGCGGTGACTGAACCATGTACAAGTCAGTGCTTTTATCCTCCCAGACGATTCTAATACCAATTAAGTAGCCTGGGATGGATAAGAGGCTCAATTGCTTTGGGCGGGTATCAATCCGAGATTCGAACCTGTGACCATGCCTTTGTGACAGTGCGCTCTTGCCACTACACCACCTCCGCAATTCGGATTTGAATGAGCTTGAAAACAGCTATGTAGTCATGTTGTAGTCGCCCGTCGAGCGAGCATATCATCTGCTCGAAAGAAATGGAACAAAAAATGAGCATTGGCTCAACGGGTGCATAGTGGAAACAAGTCATTAAAGGCAAAGTTCACGATTAAAATGGTTTCTGAGATTTCCTGTTGTACGAATTCGAGGCTCTCCCATATGCCATACCTGCCGTCATAAGGTTGAAAAACGTCATGGATAGGGAACAACAGGGGGCCAGAGATTGTATCGTGTGAATGCCTCACCCATCGTGGATGAGTTTCGGCGGCTTCATAGAGGCTGCACTGTCTCAGGAGGCTCCCGTGTAGGAAATTCAAACAACTTGCCATAAAACATGGCGACAGGAAAGGCAGATCCGGACGATTTCGGCTCGATGTAGTCATCTCTTTGAGCAAAGGGAGCAAATCTCGTCCAAACACCCCTTACATGCCATTACCGCCACAGTGATCTCGTACAAGCTCCACCTCCACTACTTTCAAAAAGCCTTGGAATAGGCGGATTTTCTCGCTTTCTTCGCCACTGATGTGCCCCTCCCCTACATCAACACTTCTACTTTCCTACCTAGAAGGGTACCTCAAAATTATTGAGAGCTGTGCCTTTAAAAGTCATTAAACCTATGCAAAAATGTGTAGTAGTAGTAAATAGATGTATCAAACGGCAGGCACAGAAAGTCAACAGTGTTTGAAATAATCCGGAATCCCAAAAAGGCTTTATATCTCATGTAATCTGCATTTTCAAAGAAAATATGGTAAATGAATTGTTTGGTAGATGTGTATTAGGTGTAATAGTGGCAATAGTTCAGTAATATTCAATACTACAACGATTATTATTACCATTGTTATTCCTATAACTACCTTTATTTAATTTGACTAGTTACCTTGTTGATTGCTCTAATTTCACCGCAGTACGCAATATGAAAGTCTTCACAAGGTCCGAAGCAGATGGACTTGAGAAACTGAAAACATCCTCCAACCACGGAAGGGATTCGGAATCTATGGGCTTGTGCCCGGAAACACGAGTAAGGGATCATGTCCCGTTCGAAGTCGAAACCGTTGCCCGTATCGCCAACCTTGTGAAACTATCATTACTATCAATATTGTTATTATTACTATCTATTATCACTGCAATAATTAACAATACTACAAATTGATAATGAAATGATTGACCATTGAATGCCACTCCACCTTGATACTTTAGAGTGTTTAATATTTACATTAATTCAACGTATGGGGTCGAAAAATTGCCTGATTGTTGTTATTCTCTTCAAGTTTGACTGCTGACTCAATTATCGTCGATGTGAAGGCCTTGAAATTTGCAGGTCGAGAGAAGCGTCATGTAAAGTAACCGACTGACTTAACTGAGGAGATCCCTTCCAATCAAGGTACCCGTAGATCCCTCACTCCGGGTGTGGTGCAGTAAGAACGAAATTGTCGCGTCGCGGCAAGAGAGACGCCGCGCGCGAAGGAATGTAGCAGAATGCAGCAGCAAGTAAGAAATTCAGGAACAAAAGAACTGACACTAGAATCATGTCTTAAGAAACAACTGAGACTCGTATACACGACCGCATCCCAAGATAGGATTCACGACGACCGAGTACTAGGACCTCTATCTTTTAGCGTTCGTCAGCCCTAGACGAGGGAATAAGAATTTCAAGTGAAGCTTTGACAATTAGGATACTTCTTGGTAATTGTCTCTATGAAGCTCACTGATTCAGGTACAGGTAGTCAAAAACATAAAATCTTCCCAAAAACGTGGAGACTATTGACATCAGATCGCCTCTGTCCAGCCCTATAATCATTTCTCTTTGGGATTGGAGCATTGCCATTTCATCACTGTTGACACATCACACCAATGGTGGCTATAACGAAGGTCTTGAGGACTTTTCCACCAAAAAATCCAACCAAAAAATTGCCTCAACACCAGGCTTGAATAGTGGCAAATTACAATTTGTCCAGAACTAGTCATACTTAAGAGTTTGTAGCTTTCCAAGTATGGGTGCCCGTCTTTCTACACATGCCACAATCCTATTCTCATTTTCCTGTCGACATTGCAGATTCAATATTCGCTATCGATACCATTTTTTTTATTTTTGTAGTAAAAATTACGGTAGCGCTTTTAAAAAAAACCGCCGCCTACATAAAACTAAGCGTGTTGTTTCCTGTTTTGAGAACTTCTCCTACGCTATGATATCGTTCATGCCATTTCGTGGAATTCTTTTAGGGCAAGCCACCCTTATTGTACTGGTAATACATTAGTTGTTGGTTGAAGTTAAACTTGTACCAAATGACCTGCTCAGATCGATGGCAATGTAGGAAACAGCTCGATCACCCAACACTTATTTTCTCCTTCTTTCAGATCTTGTGTGTCGCTCCTTCACCCGAAATGAGATCAACTTTTCTGCTTTGCACGAG